CAGACCTTGAGTCTGCTGGGGTGGAGGGCTAGAATGGACGGTTTCCGAAGCTCGCGTACCAGCGACCAGGCTTGCGGCCAGGCTTGCCGGGTATTCTGCGGTCAAGGTGCTCAGGAATTGGCCTGAGCTGTCGCGCACTCCTGCGATGCTAGGGTGCTTGCTCTGGTGATTGCAGCGGGGGTTGTTGCATGCGAAGCACCAAGATTTCGCGAATGGCATACTGTGCTGGCGTGCGTCCACCCATGCCAAGTGCCCGTGGAAAGTTTTGAGGCACTGAAAATTTTCCGGCTCGAGCCATGCCATGCTGGAAGGCGGCTGTTCAAAGACCGCCACACCGCCCTGAGTGGCTACCGCTTTGAAGAGTTCTCTGCTTCTTCTGTGTCTCCCGGCTTTGTGCTACGCGTGATTTCCTCGGGAGACAAGTTAGGCACGCCTTGCATGTATGCGGGAGTGCGTAAGGCTCTTGGACCGCCGGGGCGGAGTTTAAGTCTACTGTACTCCTTGCAAGGCGGAGCCAGGGTTAGCGTGCTGACGATGCCTGACCAGGAAATGCGCATCAGTAGGATGTCGTGCTCCGCGTTGGCGTCGAGATCAAAGGCCTCGAAACGTGCGAGGCCCTGCTTGTCGGCGGCTGCTGAGATGGGTGCGTGTATGCCTGCGAAGACATCCAAAAGGAGGCCTCCCTTGATGAGTGGGAGCGTATGCTCCCCAGCTGGCTGTGCAGTGCTAGGCGGGAAAGCGGAGTTGCACGCTGCTTGCTTGGCATAGGAGCCGTATGTCGGGGCAGCTGGCGAGGGCGGGAGCGCCTTTCTTGCGGGCGAAAGTGCATGCGTTCCAGGCAAGCGTGTGGTGCGGTCAGGGTGGGCAGTGCCAAGTGTCTGCCCGCCGCCTTGGGTGCCAGGGCATGGCTTTGGCCATTTCCAATGCTTTCCTGATGCGTGCGGCTGGGATGGAATGCGTGTGATCCGCTACTGCCAGTGCGGTCCAAATCTCAGCGAGCACATCGTCAAGGAGTGTGCTCAGGTCGGATGCGTCCAAGTTTGCGTATGCAAAATCGGCAATATCTTCAACTTCGAGGCCAAGGATATGCTCGGCGAGCATATCTGGCACTCGGGCGTTGGTTAGCAAGGCGCGCAGTGCGCTTGCTGTGTCACTTGATGCCTCCAAATCTGCCATGACCGGGGAATGGGCACGGTGAGCAGTGGTGGCTTGTGCAACAAAAAGCTGAAGAATAGGACAAAGCAACTGACGCCGGCCCACAAAGGGTGCATGCTACCGAACTTAGGTTCCTGAGGCTCTGAGATGCGGGCCAGCGAAACCGGGGACGGAGTGTGTCCCTGCCGCTGTCGGGCCTCAGGCGGAGTGGAGTTCAGGGCAAAAGTCAAAGCATGCGTTCTCTTCCGGGCGCTTCTGTGTCATGGCATGAGTGAGAAAGCGTGCTGGCAAGCCTTGTGCTTGCATAGGTGCTCCTGGCCTAAGTAATCTATGCACTGCATGGGGGTATTGATGCCTAGGCCGCATGCTGTGCAAAAAACGGACTGCAGGTCTTCACGCGAGCTGTACACTTCATGCGGGCAATGCTTCATGCGTCTAGTCTGGGGTGTCCGACTCGTCTGAAGATCAAGCCTCTGGGTCTGTGACGCAAGGCTGCACTATTAACCCTTGGGCGCCGCAGCCACGTCCCCCACGTCCCCCACGTCCCGCACGTCCCGCGCGTCCCGCGCGTCCCGTCCCCCACGTCCCCACATCCCGCACATCCCGCGCGTCCCGCGCGTCCCGTCCCCACGTCCCCACGTCCCGCACGTCCCGCGCGTCCCGCGCGTCCCGTCCCCACGTCCCCCACGTCCCTCGCGTCCCACGCGTCCCGCGCGTCCAGTCCTCCACGTCCCGCACGTCCTGCGCGCCCCGCTCGTCCCGTCCCCCACGTCCCGCGCGTCCCTGACGTCCCGCACGTCCCGCACGTCCCGCGCGCCTCTCACGCCCCGCGCGTTCGGCGGATCATGTCCTCCACGTCCCCTACGTCCTGCACGTCCCGCACGTCCTGCACGTTCAGCACCCACCTCGCACACATCCAACACTGACGCGCTTGCTTCTCTTTCTCATATATCCCTTCTTTTGCACTCGTCCTGGGATACGCACTTGAATGCGCTGCATGTTTCACCACGCAGTCTTTGTGTCATGTTCTGTTTGCGTGTCCGTATGCTTGCAGTGATTGCGCATCTTGCATACTGCGCCGTGATGCTTCTCATGGCATTGGACTGGCATGTGAACTTAAACAAAGATGTTATATATGAAACAGTACACATATCAATATGCACTGCTGATGGAATGAAATTCCGTCCGGTTCACAGGTAGACTTTTGACTCTATATAGAGCTATTTTTTACGTATGAATCTTTGTTAAACAATAGCAGTTTTTGTGTATGTATGAGTGTATATTTTGTGGGTGTTAAGGAGAGCCTATCTTAGGTTATCAGGTTTTTTAATAAGAGATAAAAATTAATGATGATGCATTTGTAAGTACATATGTCTAGTTCGAATTGTCATTGAATGTATCTATCTTTAGCACGTGTTGAAGAATATGATGGCCTGTGTCGATGGCGATACGGTTCGGTACTACGAGCTTTGCGACAGTATGTATTGCTCTGAGTGTCCGACATGCTTGAGATACAGCAACCCAGTATTACTTCAATAAAGGAAACACGGTCAGCCGCTGGTGCGCGGGCCTGCTGCACAGCATTGCCACAAGAGGCCGGCCGGTGGGCCGGAGAAGCGGAAATCTACTTCTGCCTTGTAAGTTGATTGTTAGTTTCTGTTTTGTTTCGAACGAGCTCTGAAAAAGTGAAAAGCAAGAATCGATCCCACGAATGTGGGGGCAGGCGCGTGGAAGAGTGAGCCAGGCTGCTACACCAACAAGCTTCGCTGCGGGGGACCCTCCGAAGGCTGTTCCGGATGAGCCTTGGGAAGTAAGAAGCCTCAAAAACGATCCAACTCGCCGAGTTAGGCTGATTTCTGGCTCGGATGGTTGCAGCTGTTCTTTTTTTTTGGTTTCAGCTGTTTCGGATGAGGGGACCCTCGAAAAAAGATCTAACTTCCGGATGCGCCTTGGGAAGCGGGAACCCTTCAAAAGGATCTGAGGTTGATTTCTGGCCTTGAATGGTTGCAGCCGTAAATGTGCAATATGGAATCGGCTTGGAGAAATTTCAGTCCGTGCTCAGACCCATTCAAAATCCGCAGCAGCTGGCTGCCGCCCTTCTGGGTCCCAAAGGGCCCCTCAAAGCAAACCCGAACCGACACAAGCCAAATCGGTATAATTCTAAACGATTTCCAGCGATAGTCTTCGATACGATTTGAGGTTGCGACACTTGCTTTTCGATCCAATAGCTCACACTACGCCAGTGTCCGGAGCGAGCCGAGACTCAGAGACCAAGCTGCCAATAATAACACTAGCCTGTGAGAACAGGAGCAAGTTGATATCACACATGGGGGACAAAGCGGCGCGCGTGACCAAAAGAGAAACGAGGGCGCCTTTTTTTTTAAGGTTTTTGGCAGACACGCGTCTTGGGGGAGTTTGGTGGTGGCTCAGGTCCGGATCTTTAGCCTAGAGAGCCACGACCTTGAAGGCTCTTGTGGAAGCATGCTTGCACGCTTGTATATATTTGCAGGCCTCGCTAGTCCTGCTTGCAGGCCCCGCTCTCTTGTAGACAGCACGCAGGGCCTTCGACTTGCACCCTTGACTGGCCATCTTTGCTGGGAATGGTTCCGACCTGAGCCTTAACGCTGGCTGCGGTGTTTTCGGGCAAGTTTCGCGAAAGATCCGCAAAAAGACCGGCGAGCGACTACGGACCTTCTTGTAGATGGGCATCAAGCCAATCGTGAACACTCAGACAGTGCTGGAAATCAGCAGCGCCGCGCAGTACCATGTTCCTTCACGGCCTTGCACCTTACTCTCCCAACTCTTTTGCAAGAATGGTTGCTTGGCCCGCTCCGGTTCAAGCATGCGCATGTAGAGGCCAGGTTGACATACCTTGGCACTAAGTATGAACGCGAACAATTTCAGCCCTTGTAACTTGTGTTGCATGCTGCAGAATTCCGAGCATGATGTGCGCCGAGTTGTGTGCGCGGCGGACCCGGCTGCCTTTGTGCCGCCAGCTGTAGTAGACAGCCTGGCCAGCCAGCTCTCGCGGCCGATTGCTGTGGAAATCGCACACCTGACTCACTGCCCATCTTGCGGCTCAGCGCTGGCGCATAAGACATCTACTCCTTGCCGAGTGCTGTCTAGTGGAGGCCTAACAGAAGCCACGCACGTGGCCTTGCATTGCCGCCGAAGGAAGTGTGACCTTGAGGGCAAGATTGTGTGGGCCAATTTCCTTGCCAACAGCCGCGGCGACCACACGTGGCTGACAGGAACTGCCCGGCCAGACATTGCCATGCTCTCGCCTCATTTTGGCGTCACTTGGGAGTGGCACGTGCAGTTTGGGAAGCGCATCCTGCACCATCCCGCATCTTTTCTGGGGGAAAGCTATGTGCATGGCCTTGCAGCTGCAGGTTTAGACCATGGAAACCAACGCGTTCGTGATGCTTGGCGCAAACTGCAGCTGCTTCACAAATGGGACTCCATTGCAGAAGATTTCCGTTGAGCAGGCCATTTGCGGACATCTTTGCTGGGTGCCGGAAGGAGTACGATGGATGGGTGCGGGAGCTATTTCGTGCCGCCGCTCAGCCTCAGCCCCAGGTGGTTGTGATCGATGGGAACCAAAAGCTCACGCGCAGAACGTGCGCTGAGCTGCTGACAAACCTTGAGACACTGCCAGGAACAGACTTGATGTTTCTGCAAGATTGCTCGAGAACGCCCAAGCGAAAGAATGCCTTCTGCTCAGCGCACACCCGGCCTCCTGTTCATGATGATGGCATGCGAAGAAAGCCTGCATTGCGGACAATCCTGCTGCCCTCTTGCGCACTAGCCCACGCACTTGCGCGGTAGAATGGCCACTCAGTCCTATGCTGCGGGATGTGGTTCACTTTCAGCCCAAGATGGCCCACGCCAAGCGACGAGGAGCTGCAGGGGAAGATCTAGACATTGCCCAAGCTGCAGATTTTGTGTCTTGCCGCACAGTCAAGATGCGGCGGCGCGTCAATCGCCGAAGTGGGGGCTGGCTGGTGGCCTGCGCTGCTGATGGCGCTGTTCTGGACGCAGTGGAGTTTCTTGGTGGGGAGTCTTTGACGCAGCGGGCTGCTTTCGTGGCCCGGCTGAAGGAGCGGTACCCGTTCATCGCCACTGTGGTGCATGATGACAGCTGCCACTTACGCAGGTTCATGGACCACTGGTGCAGAAGCTGCCCGCAGCTCTGCTTCCCTGCAATGCATTACGTCATCAACAAGTTCCACGCCGTCACGCACTGTGATGCTTGGTGTCGCGCCAACTGTGCGCCATCAACTCCTGTCAACGAGGCCAGAATGGCCGGAGTCAACAGTAGCGCCTGCGAGCTGCTTTTCTCTTGGTTTTCTCTACATCGGAACTCATTTCGGCACATGGGGCAACAAACAGCCCATTTTTTTGTCCATGAAGTTTTGCTGATGCGAAACGAATGGCACCGAGCTCAGGTTAAACCGCCTGTCTAGGGAACGCTTGTGCTTCACGCCTGGCTGGATAAATGAACAGTTGTCTTGCTGACACACTTGCACCGACGCCCCTGACTCATGATATTGCATGTGGGCAAGGCTGCTCGATTGGTGGCCTTGAGGTTCAAGGTTCTCTCTTCTGTGGCCCAGATGGCTGGGAGGCTCGAGTGTGCGTGGGACCTTGTGGAGAAGGAGTGTGATGTAGGTGGCCTCTTTGGTGACAAGGGGAAGAAGTTCTTGGAGGAAGCGGCCGCCAAGCGAAGCCTTCACCCTCTTGCCGTGGGCCTACCAGTTTTTGCCACATTGGCTCCACTTGCCAATGGCGCCAAGGTGAGGATTTGGAGCGAAGCCTCCCCTCTTTGCACTGCAGTTGTTCTCATCAACCCTCCGCAATCCCGCAAATCCCAGACTACGTCCTTGGCGCGCGAAGTTGGTCTGGTCCTTGATGAGTACGCGCACCGCCGTGTCCGTGAAGAACTGCTGCGCCGCCACGGCGATGGACAAGATGGAGCTGACCCCGTGCTGGATGAGCTCCTCGCCGAGCCTTCGCCCTCGTGCGTGCTGGAAGGATTCACCCCGGAGGCGGGGCGGGGCAAGGTCTGTGTTTTTTGACCCACCCCTGTTTTCTCTGCAAGGCTTTCTTCGAGGCCGTGTCCGGCGATCACTCCATCAAGAAGTGCAAGGCTGGTGGATTCGGACGGCTAGCCAATGTCGACGAGGTGTGCCCGTCCTTTTTGTCCTTTGGCCTCATAGACAGCGCTGACACAAAGGGCAAGACTGGAGTCAACTCGTGCACTTCGCTTTTGAACCGCTTTCTCCAGACTGTTGCCGCAGCACTTTTCGCAAGGTCAGGCACAGACCGTGGCAGGCGCAGCACTTTCGCTCAGGTACAGATTTCGTGGCAGTCGCAACACGTTTGCAAGGTCAGGCGCGTGTTTCGCTGCAAATGGTGAGCGCTCTGAGAAAAGGAGGTAGAAAGATAGAAAGAAGGAGAGAGCGAGAGAGAGAGAGAGAGAGAGAGAGAGAGAGAGAGAGAGAGAGAGAGAGAGAGAGAGAGAGAGAGAGAGAGAGAGAGAGAGAGAGAGAGAGAGAGAGAGCGAGAGAGAGAGAGACAGAGAGAGAGAGAGAGAGAGAGAGAGAGCGAGAGAAAGCTTGTTTGAAACTTCCGCCCTGCGGCAAGAGATTGCTGGTACTGTGCCCCTCCAGACACTTTAGGCGGGTCCCGTTTTAGTAGAGAAATGGCTTCTTGAACACAAGAGTACTCAGCGCTGCCCCCCTCCCTCTCCGGCAGTTTGTAACGTTTTTTCGAAGGCGTGTTGGCGCACAGTTTGCAGCTTTAGGAAACTTAGGGCGTTTTCTTGAGTGCGGTTAGAAAGGGCTTTACGGCTTTACCTACGATGAATTTGGGCAGGCTGGCAGCTTTGATGGCGCTCTTCGATGTGTTTGTTGGGGCCTGCAAGGATGAGAAGGCCGTGTTTCGCGCAACCGCCTGGCAACACGCGCGCCGTAAATGTTACTTACGTTTTCCTAACTTCTTCTAATTTGCTTCTTGGTTCCCTGGAGGTGTGTGTGCGACAACAGCATGTGCAAAGAGCTTGGGGGGTTCTGCAACTCCTCCATAAGATGCGGGAGCTATGGTCTCAGACCGAGGAGGATGGTGTAAAGCCATGAAAAGAGTTCCAGTCGAAGGTGCCTGATCACGCTCAGCTTCCCCCAGATATGGCAAGCTTTCCCGCTACCCAGCCCAACTCTTCCAAGCCAGTTTTCCCTGCTGACGCAAGCCCCGTACAAATCAAAGAGTGCAGGCAAGGGCCGGCTTTGGAGAGGGCAATGGCAAAGGGTTTTGGGCCGAACGATGAAAGTGTGCAAATCCCAGTCTCATTCTTGTCAGATCGAGAGATCGCGCGAAGGACCGTGCTGAGAGGAAAGAGCCACGTGTCTTTTGGAGCCTCAGAAAGGTTGAGACAACGGCTGATGGAGAAATACCCCATTGGGTTCGACCGTGGCGCCGTCCACTTTTCGCAGCCCCCTCATGAGCCCAGTGAACGGGCAATCTTTCACAACTACTTAGTGGATTGCTGCCAAGTGTCTTTGAGGCAATTTGCAGAAGCGCTTTCCAAGGAAGCCAAGAAGGCCGCGCTTCCAAAGGAAGCCAAGAAGCGCAAGCAAGAGGAAGGACAGCAAGCCAAGGACTAGTTTTGCGCGGGGCAGAAGAGAAGAAATTTGCCAGCTGCCTTCACTTGCTTGCCCCCACGTCCCCCATGTCCCCCGCGTCCCGCACGTCCTCCCCACGTCCCGCACGTCCCGCGCGGCCCGCACGTCCCGCGCGTCCCGCGCGTCCCGCGCGTCCCGTCCCCCACGTCCCGGGACACTCAGAAGTTAATCCCCACGCAAGGCTGGGCCTGCTGTTCCCGTACATTTTGGGCTCGGCGGGCAAATCATGCAGGGCAATGCTTGGGGGTATTGGACCGGCCCCCACTGAGAACGCTGGTATGTTGGCCCCCACGCGACTGGGGTCTGGTGACGCCACCCCCAGCGCTTGTGTGTATGCCATGGGGCCCAGGAAGCATGCTGGTGCGTCGTTATCGACGCACGCTGAGGCGGGCAGCAGGAAATCGGGCGATGGCAAGTCGGGTGACTTGGTGGCACTTTGGGTTAATGCAACGCTCCAGCTGCGAAGCCAATGGAGCACCCAGGAAGATTTCAAGATTTCTCGTCTCGTCCTGTGAGGCCGAACAGTGCGCATGCACAGGGTCCCAATTTGGTAGCGTTGGTGGCCCAGCATGAGCCGCGTAGGGCGTGCTGAGTGAGGCTGATTTCGCGCACTTTGATGCGCTGAATGTCGCCAAAGCGCATGCTGGCGCGCGCTGCCAAAAGGAAAGATCCCAAAGCAATGCGCAGGCTGGGAGTGCAATCGGTGGAGCAGACCTTTCGTTCCCAAGCTGCTAGGACGCCCAATGGCAGCGGCACGGCTTCTTTGCGTTCTTGGTTATGCTGCGGGGACGCGTTGGCAAGTGGTGCCATGAGAGAGTGGATCTGACCTATGCGAGCCAGTCACGAAAGAGCCTTAAGCATGGGCTCTAGAGCCTTCACAAGCATGCGCATGCAACGGCCTGGTGATGCAGCAGGATCCTCACCTCAGTATGCAGAAGCGCGGGCCACAACCAGTATTGTAAAGAAGGGCCTAACTTGCCAAGTGCTCACGGGACACCGGTGCGGTGCACTGGGTGTTGGGTCGTCCAAAGCTAGTGCATGCTGGACGCGATGCGAATGCAAATGGGGCATCGACAATTTTGTCAAGAGACGGCAAGGTGACGTCCCGTGGGACGCTATGCACCGAACCCTCAAGCTGTAATACCAACCACGTAGAAAGGTGTATACGGACGATGCCGTTATAGCCGAACCCGTGTAAACGTTGTAAGGGAGAAGGAATGATAGTTACAACAGTAGTCCTGACAAATGCAGCGCAAGCGAAGTGTTTTCGCTCTCAATGCCGATCACGTATGTATGCAGTCACACAGCAGATCTTGAACCTCAATTGTGTCTTGAGCCAAATGGCGATCAATGGAACTTGGGAAGCAACACCAACAAGGACCTCAGAACAGCTACCCAATTTCGGCACGGGGCCTAGAGGTTTTTAACATCCCCCATTTGGGTCGCATTGTTCATCATGCGGTCCAAACACCACAAAACGTTCCACTGGCCACGGCTTCAACTACGAAATCGTGTCGTGCATTCTTTTACTTGCTATCACTACACCGTTCATTCGCTGTGAAACATGCCGGGTTCGATTGTACGAAAAGTGAAACATTCATCCTCCAATCGAAGCACACATCATATGCAGGTGTATATAATACACTGTGGCCACTTCACTTGACCGCCAGTGAACATTCCAGCTGCCGCATTTGCGCATCGCGCAGCTGTCATCCATAAATGGGTTGGCCGCAAAAGTCCACCAGAGGCGCCCGCTTGTAATCGGTCTGCATATTTCCGGCAAAGAAACATCGGTGAGTAATCAATGCAAATCATAGCCATTCCAGATACCATGGACAATGCATAAATAATGAAAAGATATCATCTATAAGGTAATAGTTCCATCCATGAATATCCAGAGCGTCATATTCATCGGAATATGTAACCATGTACACATCCATTCAACTTGGATATATGAAATCATATCATAATGTAAAGTCGTTCCATCGCAATGGTGTTGATGAGACGCAAGCAACAGATGGGGACTAACCCACATCGTGCCGCAATCAGCATCTTCACTACGCAGACCGGTCCCCAATGGACAGTCTGTGAGTGCGTCGACGGAACTCCTCGTCCAAGTTCTTCTGGGCTTCTCGTGCCCGGACACACTTCTTGTTGTAGTCCGCTGGCAACCAGTGCCCTTTCCGAAGGCACCAATCCAGCAGGGGTGTGTCGCATTTGTTCGGGTCGATGGCCGAGATGATGGCGCTCACGTTGACCGTGTAACCATTCTTGCCAAGGTTCAGGCCATCCCTCACGATTGATATATACTTACAGTTGAAAGCTAGTGCAAAGCATCTGAAAATAATATCACCCACCGGGTGCACTCGGTCCTTGACCAGGAGCTTCATTTCTTCCTTGGTGACATCGAGGATTCTCGCTGCAATCCACAGCTTGTAGAATGTGTAAAGTCCCTCGCATTTGCACACCATCATACGGATATATTCGTCACGCTCCTCAACCGATCGGAAGGCTCTTGTCCGAACATTCTCCGATTGAGAAATCTTCGTTATTGTTGATGGCAAAAGTATACCTTCCTGATCATGCTCAGTGATGTTGGGGTACCTCTTGAAATCATTGTGATAAGGGCAGCCCGGATTCCCTTCGAGTCCGGCATTCATTGTTCTCTCCTCACCACCTTCAAACATCCCCCACATCTTGGACAGCTGGAGTGCGATAAATCCTGCCATGTACTGAGCCTCACGCGGCTCGTCAAGGCAGATCGCCATCCGTTGGGAACTTATAATGTCCCGTGACGCCAGATCGGTGTCGCGGTAATGCCAACCGCTGTCTTCTTCTTCTGACGCATAGCCGGATGTATATCCTTGCGTGTCCATGTCGTCATCTTCTCCCGGAACTTCCTCCGCTTCGTCTTCATCCTCCTCTGCTGCCGCATCGTGGTTAGCTTCTTCCTGTGCACGCCTGGCATCTCCAGAGACGTTGGGGTTTTGGTTGTCCTCCTCGTCATCGGATTTGATGTGAATGTAGTATCTTCCGATGGAGATCAGTTGTGCCTCGCACTCCAGGCATAAGCAGAAGCAGGTGGGGATCGCGGTCGCACATGATGGACATATCCGGCACCTCAGTCCTTCCCATGTCTCGTCATTCAGGATGACGACTTTGCTGATTTCGTCCCGGACCTCGTTGACCTGTGCATTGAACTCTTCCATCTTGTTGATTCGATAGAGTTCGCAGGCACGATTAACCATGTCAACGATGTAGTGCAGATTATCGGCACCTGTCTCAGTCTCCGGCATCCTCTCGCTGATCTTTGCGACGTTCTGGAGGAACATCGCAGCCGACTCTTGGGAAGAGTTGACAAAGCCAGGGCAGATCTCGTTCTCCACACACTTCGAGTACGCCCTCTTGATGTCAGCGTACTCCAGGCGCTTCACTCCGTTGCTTTTGCCAATCCAAATGGACTTGACCTCATAGAACGGGATCACGTCAAAGACCATGAAAGTCCCATTAGCCGCGACTCCAGCCCCAGACCGCGCGAGGGTTGCACTGGGAATATAGATGATCGCAATCGGATCCCCTCTCCTCACGTTCCGTAGCGTTGTCTTCGTCGCCACGTTCATCTCATCCCATGGAGCAAACGCCCCGAAGTGCAGTGCTAGCCTGTTGCCGCCATCGATTCCGCCGGGGACTAACCCACAGCGTACGATGCTTGGCAGGTTTTCCACATACGTCACATGGAATGCTCCTCCGAGAGTATCACCCATTCTTGCGGAATACCTATTCGCCAGTGCGGATGAGCTAATGAATCCAAAATCACTGTGACCGGTTGTGACTCGGATGCACCAAGGTCTGTACCATCCATCGCATCTGTTGAACATCCTGTCGATGTCGTCCCGATCCACGCCAGCTTCGGTCATTTCCTCCCTGGCTGCCCTCGTGTCGTTCGGGTTCATGATGCTCGGAAACCTTGCTGCCAAAACCTGGCATCTCGATTTTCTGCTTCCGGATTCCTGCCACTTGATCACCTCCATGATGCCCATGTATCGTTTCGCTCTCGTGGTGTATGGTGGGAATATGTCGTTGTACCGGTCGTCAATGACAGCATCAATGTCGACCCATCCACCCTCGTCGCACCTGAAAGCACTTCCTCGGCAATTGCCGATCTTGTGTCGAAGGACTCTGCATAGGTCGTGAGATAGCTGGTTTGCTTGGTCCCTTGTAGTAAATACCGAGCGATCATCACCAATCCTGCATAGTGGAGCACCGTCGAAAGGAGCAATGCAGAAGTTGACACTCTTGCCAAGTTGCATCACGTCCACTTGCTCAAGGATTGCACCTTTGGGAAAGTATTTGGGGTCCACGATGGACGCATACGCCCATGGCAAGTGCACATCACTCACATCGCCATACTTCGGGATGTAGCACGGGATGGTGTCGCATCCCATCTCAAGCGTCTTCCTGAATGTCCTGTTGTCCCCGCACGGGTTGTAGGTGAGGTCGACGCCACCACATTGTAGCTCTCCTCCCTCAGCCGTGTCAGCCATTTCCACCAAATTAATAGTGTAGCTGTACATCTCAATTGTTTCTTTCCCTGCTTGTCCCCCTTTCTTTCTTTCCTTGGACGTTGATGAGGACGGTCCCTCCGTATCCCCCATGTCTTCATCAGATGAAGCAGGGTCACTGCTGAGTAGCTCACGGAGCACCTTCATCGCCTTCTCATTTCCAGCAGCCTCCTCAATGTCCTTGCAGTCGCCGTCGTGGGCCAGGTTCGCGCACTTCTTACAGATCCCCATATCTCCCATGCACTTCTCCATTGACTCCAGGAATCCTAGTGCCGCTCTCCGCCCGTCGATCACTCGCTGCTTCTTGTCTTCCTTCTCAGAATTGGTTTGAGAACTTCGACTCGGGTCTGGTGCTTGACCAAGACCCTCATCTTCGCCCTCCGCGGCCTTTCTCTTGGAACCTTGTGCAGAGGGCTCGGT